TAACATTACCTTACCAATAACAATTGACACGGGGGCAAATATATGTTGCATTAGACAAGAATTATTACCCGATAACTATATTATTACACCTAGTACAATAAACCTTTTAGGACCGGACAACAAACCACTATGTGTAGTAGGCATAAGCAATATACAAATAAAAATTAACAATAATTACTTCAAAATAGACACCCACGTTGTAAAAAACCTATCTAGTGCAATTATACTAGGTAATAATTTCTTAATTAAAAACAACGCTTTAATCGATTGTCCCTTGTGTCAGTCCGGCCACATCATACTTATAACTTTCATCGCACCATTTTAATATTTTTATATTTATACGTTAGCTTCACCTTTATTGTGTTATTACAATAAGTAGTCGATAAAATGCTTCAATTTTATTTAAATGTGGGTGGTTTTAAATATTATTTTGGATTTAGTCTATACTTTTGCGAATTCTAACTTAAAAATTCCCAGAACTAATTATAATCGGAAAAACGAACAAAATTTCAGGAAAAACGGCAATCTTCTAGTAAAGTAGTAAATCAAATTGTTAACAAATAACAAAATCGTTAATGTAATAACGAGAAAACTAGGAGAAAAAGAATGAAATAAAACAAAGACAAATGTAAATTGAAATATAACTGGGGTGATATACTTCTACACTTATAAGTGACTGGAAAATATAATCACTCACCAGATACTAATATTAAACTCAAGTTATTACCTTCTTCCCGATCTTCAGAGAGTTCACGAAAATGTGATCAACTCAAATGAAGTACACCATTATGTAAATTTAATACTATAATCTATAATAATAATAATATGTAGTTTAATATAATCATGCACTTTACCCGATTCACAGCAGTAAATATGTGATAGTTGTTAGGAAAAAGTAAGGTGACATAAATGAGAAGACAATACTTTCTGAACACTTGAGTCCAAATAAAAAGCATCACTGGTTTAACTTATTGAAAAGAAAAGGACCCGTTATGCTTACATTTAATGTTTGATTTATAAATATGTTAAATTAGATTATATATATTATTTTTGTTTTATTCTTTTGCAATAGTGCGTAATCACTTAATATTTAACTTATTTTAACTTAAACTAGGTAGGTTATATATTTTTACTTTATTTTTTTTTTTTGTACATAAAAACTTGATATTTTACTTATTTTACTTAAATTAGGTTATACATATTCAACTTTTTTTTTAAATTTTCAATTCTTATCTATGCTACTTTTAAAATTTGTTTTAATTTTTGTTTAATATTTTGTATGTAAAATTAAAAATGTAAGCAATTTTGTAAATCCGATTTTTAGATATTTTTAGATTTAGGGGAAAAACATAATATGTTTAGTATATTATACTAAGGTTTATTCAATAGTTTTTAAACAATTTTTTAATTTTGCTTAAATTCAAATTTATTTTTTATTTTTTATTAGTGTTACAACGATTATCAATTATCCAGATAATCTATTTGAAATAATATAAAATTTTGTTAACTTTAAAAAATCGTAGAAAATAAACAGCTAAAATTTTTTTTTTCTTTTTTTTTTTTCTAATTTCTTAATTTTACATACAAAAAAATTGAAAAGTTAATTTAAATGTAATGTAGATGACAATTGATAATTAAAAAAAAAAAGTTGAAAATATTCAATAGAACAAGTTATTGCAATTGTTCACCGTGAAACACTGTATATTAAGGCAATTATTTTTTTAAAGACGTTTTAAAGTCCCAATTTGGAAAAATTAAATTTTTTGAATAATAAATAACGATATGATGATAATTATTTTGTTGTAATTTTAAAAAATTCGTGGGTTCCTAAACTTTTATACATTTTATACTGAGTGGGGAACTAAAACAACCAATTTTCAAAAATAAACTATAAAATAAAAAAAAAGAATAAAAATTAATTATTATCTATTGTAATGAAGTAAATAACTTACCATTTATTTTTTTTAAATTATGTGCTCAAGACGATGGCCAACTTTTCTGGAGCCTACTTCGTAAATTTTCTACTATACGATGTATCATTTCCTAGTTCCTAAGGTGGTACATTTTCAAGTAAACGAATGGTTTTTTTCGGACAGGTTTCTTTCGGGAACATATTTTTCGAAGTTAGTAATCCATATTTTAACAGCCTTAACAGATGATAACAAATCATGACGTTTAAGATTAAAGCGAAGACGAAACGAATGCAGTACGACGGCCAGGTAATTGTCATTATTTTAGTAAAACAATTTTATCGGATGAGCACGTTGTTCACCTCTCCACTGTTCCATTAATACTAAAATAAGTAAAATATAGTAACTACTAAATGTATAGTAAATGGCACGCGTTGCTTAAAATCAATAATATTTAACGATAATTCTTATCTTAGTTATTACTGGGAAAATCTATTTTTAAAATCGACCGTTCGAGTATTCTACCCTGTGTTATTATGAATTTTACTGGTACAATAACATTTTTTATTTATTTTAAAATATTATTTATATAATATACTTTGTGGGTACTATGAATCTAAATAATCTAATTTTATTGTTGAACAGTATTCACAGAAATATAATGTTATTGGTATAACATCAATATGTTATAAATATTAAATATACATTATTATAATAATTTTATACTCCTGATGTTATAAATAATACAATATTTTCAGAAAAAATTTATTCAACTTATTACAATATTAAAACTAAAATAAATGACTTTCATAGCACTATAGCAGTATCAGAAAATCATATTACTCGGTAAAATAGGCTGATAGAGCATCTCCGTTTAGAAGCGTTTTTCGTATGCAATGTCATAAATCATCATGATTTATCAATGAATTCAAATTTAACATACACTTAATAATGATCTACTCCAGCGTTTCTCAACCTATGGTACGCGTACCACTAGTGGTAAGCAGAAAGCTCAAAGATAGTACTTGAATGAAAAATAAATATTTATCATAAAATAAAATATTAATATATAGGTACATAAAATATTATTTCGTTTATTTGATTACTAAACCAAATAGCCGGGTTTACTCACGTTAAAGATAAAAATTTAGATAAACGATAATCTCTATAATGTTGTAATGTTTGGTCGATTTATGTTTTAATAAATTGTACATGCTTAATTTTACTTTTGTTTAATAAATTTTAATATTCTATAAATTTTTTTAAGCAAAACGAAAAAATAGAGTTTTATAAATTAAATGATACGTGAAAATTTTCTAGATGTGTAGGTGGTACTCGGAAGTTAAAAGGTTGAGAATCGCTGATCTACTCGGTATCTAATGAACAGCTAAATGATATCCACTTACCTAACTTTTTTAAATTTATTTCCAGACCGAAACACCTTAACTGCGTCATGTAAAAAAGATCTTATTATCAATAATAAAGGAGTACTTAACTTTAAAATTTAAATAATGTGGTATAATACAATAATATTTAAAAAGTATTTAAATGTATAACTATACAACTTACAAGGAAGGACCTATATTTGCTAGGCTTAATAGAAGACGTCAAAACTTGCTTCAAAATTAAATCTATTGATCCTATAAGGCGCTGCCTAGATAATAATAATATTATAATTTATTATTTTTAAATTGGATAACAAATCAATCCACTCAAATATCTAATAAAAATAACAGATTTTTCTAAACGTTAATTTTTTTCATATTATGCGTTAGTAAGACGGAGACAAGTGACAACTGAGCAGTGAAAACACATGCGGGTATAACGTCTTTTTTACAATAAATTGACAACATGCATACCTACATTGTAGTGGAAAACTAATTTTTCTCCTTGTGACACACTGACACATAGTAACATTTTGAATTTTTTAGCGACCAACGATGACAGTGGCAGCGAAAACTTGCAACTGCTTACTTGTTCTATGCAGTCGGTTTAAAAATTGTGGATGGGTTAAAATAACAAACAATTATATTAATATTTATTATTTCAAGTTTTTGCGAATCAGTTCATTATACTCCAATTAACTTAGTTTAGGTATATTAATAATTTTAAGTAGTAATGAGAATGTGTGGATGGGTTTATAATTTGTTTTTATATTAAAGGGACTAGTAAGTTGTATTGTTGAGCTGTGTGAACTTTGGCCACATTGCATAAGGTCTAAAAGTTTATAGTTGAGTAAAATGTATAGTAACGTCGGAAAATTTTAATTGTGTCGTGTACCATATACGCTGCTACTTATGTGTATTGATTATACATTTACCTGACAATTATTTGTGAAACATTTGAAACAACTGATTAGATAAAAAACTTTTGTTTCAAGTTTACTTATAAAAAATGTTCCAAGTCCCATGTACGGTTTACTCTTTAGTACATAAATACTTAAATATTACAATTTATAGTATGTTGATATGGCATGTATTGGTATATTTATATTAGATATAGCCGATATAGGTATAATAAGAATAAAATTATAAATAATGATCAAAATGTTTTAAATATTATAAAAGCATTTGATGTTCACTCAAGCATACATTTTTGAAAAAATCATCATCAATTAAATTTTTTAAGCACTTATACATACTTATTGCTATTTTATAACATTTTTGATGCTAATAAAATAATATGTATTCATAACTGGCAACTATAATATTATGTTTATATAATCTGCAGCTTTTATAATATTGTCATACCCACGAGTATATAATTATCACGTCTAAAATAACATCAAAGTAACAATGTAGAGGTCTCATTTTTATCTGGATCTAAACGTGTTTGCTAATACTATATAATTTGCATGTAATTAAAATGTATAAAGTATTATTTAATTAATACTTTTATAAAAATGATTAACTCAAGTATGAATCACTGCAGATTTTACGCTAACTACTGTGGTGCGCGACAATATAATCGCATGTAGGCTTAATGAAATACTGTAATTTAATAAATTACATTATGGAGTTTTCATAAACATTAACTACATTTTATACATATCTACACATATATCATAAGTAGGTAATATATTAAATACAAAAAAAAAAATTAATTCTTATTTTTAATTAATGACACGCCACACGCGGTTGCATATGCCATATATAATGAAAAAAAAGAAAAATAATCGAGTATTGTGTATAATATGTATTATTATAAAAGTAATTAAAATTGGTTAAATAAAATAAAGTTAAAAATTAGACTACCTAAAAATAAGCAAATTTCACTTATGATATTATTAAGTTTCATAAAATTAATAATTACTCAAAAAAAAAAAAAAAAAAATTAGCACTACGTACTTATACTCATTAGATCGATTTTAGAGTTTGGATGTTTAGTGTTGTTATTTGGAACCACATATAGAGAACAATCAAAATCAGATTAAGAGAGTGCGACGTAATTTTTTAAGTTTCACTGTTTATATATATTGAATATTGACCATCGACTGCATGTATATGATCCAGTCTTGAATATATTAGATTAACAATTTCTACGCTTATAAAACATCGACTAGAGGTAGGTACAATCATTTTTAAATTAAAGCTATAAGTATTACATAAACGATTAAGATTTGTATATAAAAAAAAAAACGAATTTTAACATGAGAATTGCTTTGATATACTTAATAGTAAGGTATTTTGTGTATACCAGTTCTTCATTGCAGTCACTCGATGTGTAATGTATTAAATTTGAATCCAATATTAGATCATTAAATATTAATAATATATTATTATTATATTACACATATGAAAAACGATTATAGCCTCTATTTTCAAAAATATAAATAATTTATTTAAATTACAATAAGTACCTAAGGAATTTATTCTTCTACTTTATAGTAATACAATATTTGGTAACGTTAATTTTTTTCAAAAACAATGCAAATATTATACATAATTGTTATTAACATTAGCTTGTAAGTAGAAAAAACCTATATTTATGTTTTAAAATTAGTCTAAATATTTTAAAAGTTTCATAGTAAATATGAAATAATAATATACATGCGATGGTAATACATTTCAAGATCAATACGAAAAATATATTTTTTTAATCGATTTTGACGAAAACTGTGTTGCATAAATATTTTAGTTTTTTCATTATATACCTTTTGTTTTTCCTAATTATTTTGCAGAAAAATATTATGTAATATTTTCCTTTTGATTCCTTAAGTAAAAATTTAGTTTAATTTGATAACAGTAACCACTTTCAATGATCAAATTTATTTTTTGGAGGAAACAGTGTCAAAAATAGCGACCGAACATTGGTCGTACAAATTATAAAAACGGTCGTTCAAATTTATACAAATTCCGTACTAAGTTATGGTATTGGAAAAAAATACGAAATCACTTAAATTTCATGCGGTGATGGGGCTGGGGTGATGGTTTTTTTGAGTAACCGCAATAGCGGCTGAACGATAGTCGTACAAATTATAAAAACGGTCGTACAAATTCATACAAATAATTTGTATACTTTATATTATTTTTATAATTGCGTACTAAATTATGATGTAGTTAAACTTATGAATATATCATTTTTAAGCTGAACACACATCACCTCAATCACACCCACTATTTTTCTTTGATAACTAGAAAACAGTGAGCGTACAAATTTTAAAAATTATCGTACAAATGCATACAAATTACATACTAAATATTGGTAAAGAAAATTTTCAAAAATTGTAAATGGGTGGGCCTGGGGTGATATACGTTCAAATTTTCATTAATATAGAACGAAAAAAATCGTAGAATCTAAAATAATAAACATATAATAGTTTTTAAATGTTAGATATTGTGCTTAAACTGTAGTTTTTGAAGAAAGTTAAAAAGTATTAATAATTTATAAATACTGTTTGAAAAATATATATTGTAGTCTTTAAAGATAGTTATTATTTTTTACAATTATTTATATATTATAAAATATAAAAATAAATATATACTATATATTATTGTAATTATTGAAGATAAAAATCAAATATTTAAAATTAAATGTTTACACAGATACATTTAATATTGATATATTTATATTAACAAGGATCAAAAAAATAATTTGGGGTAACTAATATTTTTTAATAAAATATCTTTGAAAATCTCTAAATTCACTAATTATTTATGTATAATATAACACTAAATAAAGAATGATATAATATAATCATTAAATCATTTAATTTATGTAAATTTTAATTTTAAATTATTTTTGGTCGTAAATTATATTTATACATATATATATATTTGTATGAATATGTTATAACTAATCTTCAGATTATGTTTTATTCACTAATTCATTAATTAACTCTGTAACAGTATTTAAAAAATACTTTTTTAAAACATTTGTTTTGAAAAACGCTCACTTAACTATTGGATAATAATTTTATTTCTATATATTTGTACAGCGTGCATATACCATTAGGTAAGTTTACCATGTTCAAATATGTTGGACAATTATAGGTAAGTATATATTATATAGGAATATTAAAAATTTCCGATTTACTTTAGGTTAACGGTTAACTTACTTCAATGGACTACGACATCAATAAATAAATAGATTTTAAAAATAATATAAATCAGGTCACAGAAACCACAATCCATCGTACAAAGCTGCATAACGTAAGAGTTATATAGCCATATAAGTATATACTGTAATATATCTACTGTATACTTATAACGTTTAGGCATCTAAGAATATAATAACAACTAAAATAGAAAAATTTCATCATAGAAATATTTGAGGTAAAAAACCCAAAAATCTTGTAGTATCTTGTAAACACTAAACTTTATACGTGCACTTTTATCAAGTATTTAAACACCCAATACAATAAGAACAAAACTGACCAATGCATATTGTGACGGACAACTATCGTGTATTATATACCGTGTGTCCGTTTGTGTGTATTAATAAATATCAAATACTCGTATATACGATATATAATGGCTATAATAGTTACTCACAATATGATATATTACATGCACATCCCGATATCCGTATGTACACACCATTGAGTGTGATTTAAGATGCGTGTTGTGTGCACGTATTACGCCCAAATTCGATCGCATCAAATTCGATATGCAAAAATAACAATATTATATAATCGTTGGCGAAAGACGCCCACGATCGAGGATCAGCGTTGCGCGCGACGAAATCGCATATTATGTACCATTACATTATAAACCACATAATATACGGGGTGATCAGCATTTGGCTGGTCGCAATAATAATTTTTAAGTCGTACGTAACAATTTATCTCCCCCCCCAAGTTCATAAATTGGAAGTAGTTTCGCTGGACGCTTCCTTCCCTCGCGTCGTTACGTCTAGTACTAAATTATCTAATTTACTCATTGTTTTATCGTGTAAACAAATTGTAAATGTCTTTTATGATAAAAAAAAGTCGTACGTATATTTGTATTTTTTTTTCTAAGCGAAGTATTTATCAACGATTTCTATAAGAAATAAAAATTCACTCATGTATTATTATTATATTTACTATTTTTTATCATACCTATTCATTGTTGTGACTATAATATCAACTACGCGTACGGTGTCTCACAGGGGTTTTTCGCCTTCTTTTCGACAACATCCAATATACGTATTATATTAACTATAGCTGGTACCTACACTTCCTACAAGTCGAGTATAGAACATAGTTTTCTGAAAATGTTGACGTGCAGCATATTGCAGTTATCGAATGTCCGGAAAAATATATTATGCAGGGGCACTCCTATCCCCCGCACATTAAAATATTTTATTCCGGTGCGCACACAAAACGACCGAATTGTAGCACATACAGCGCCGCGTAAAAACAGTACACCCCGTATATATATATATATTTATACACGTATGCGTATACGGGCGCGCTAAAGGTTTTTCTTGTTTTCCGCTGTGTGTGGGTGGCGGTTGCGAGGCGTTTGCGGGGGTGGTTTGGAGCGCCGGTGTCGGTGCGGGCCGGTTACGGCGGCGGCGAGCGGGTCCGACATGGGTGACTCTGCCGCGTACGCAACTGTATGGGTTATACGTATATATATATATATACGACCGCGTTGCAGTCGGATGGCGGTGGTGGAGTCGTTGGAGGTGGCGAAGGTGGGTGTGGAGGCACAGTAAAGTGGGTGTGTGTGTGTGTGTGTGTGTGTGTGTGTATGTGTAGAGCCCTCGACGGGGGTGCGCGCGGTGTTCCGTTCCCTTACGACGTGGCGCTATAGAGTGTAGTCCGTTCAGAGGGATCCGATCGATCGTCGAGCTGACGCCGCTCACCCACACACACTCACACACAGACGTTTTATATGACACTATATAACGTACGGCGGGACGACGCGCGCGCGCACACGTACACAGACGGTATTGGTGAGCACTCACACGCGCGCGCGAAAGCTCACGGCAGCCAGTGCCTTCTACAGACGTCGACGACACCGCCGCCGCTGGCAAAAAAATAAATTTTAATTTAAAAAAAATTCTCGTCCGGTGTCGTCTCGCATTGTCGCCGTTACAATACGAGTATAATATCATAACACAATATTATATATTATTATACACGACTGCTTAGTACCACGGCGATCCGGCATTAACCGTGTAGAGTAATATTTGCACGTCGACTAATGCCACGTACCTACGCATAGGTACCACGGAGAGAATTCTGCACCCGCGGCCAAAGAGGAACTCTGTATAAGTATACCCATTTTTCGCGCAGCGCCAAGTCGTCTGAGAAACACATACCTAATTGTACCTACGTCACAGCCGAGTCGCCACTGCTGCACTCACAGAGCACTCATATCATAATTCGTATAATTCAATAATATATATATACACTATACAAGCAGCCAGTCGTCGTCGCACGACTCGCACGTTTGCGTACAGTAGCGACCGCCGCCGTCGTCGAATCATCGTCATCCCGATCGCTTCACGTACAAAATGTGAGTATATAATCTTATTACAGGTACACCCATGTATAATCATGGTGTACGCGTTTCATTAGATCTCACACGACGTCCGTATAATAATATAGTACAATTTAATGTGCAATCTTTCACACACACACACACATACACACAGAATTATCGTCGTTGCGTTATATCACGACATTGAGTGTTATACGGGCTTATCAAGTTCGTGAGTTCGAGGGTTACGTCGTTTTCGAATTTCCACAAACCTATCTACGGTGGCGGCGGTGGGTAGTGGGAAAGACCGTATTCGTTCAACGCCCAAACGCGGTCGAGTATATAGCTATATATATATACAGTGCAATCCGCGCGTGACACCCACCCCTCAAAACCCTTCTAGACCGTCTCCGACAGAATTCCGCTTTCGGGGGTGTCCGCTCCTCCGCGACGACCACCACCGCCGTCGCCACCACGCCCGTTCGTACGAGATATATAATTTTACCCTCGTTTAACAACCCGCGTTGAATGCTATGCGTCATACGACGATAATTTCGACTGATACCGTTTTTTAGATAGGCGTATAATACATCACATTGTGGGTCTACCTATACTTTATAATATCATATTATATGTCGTTATGACATGACGTGTTTTCATCCGAACTTTCATGCATATAATCCCGTAGGCGGTCCACACTATTTTTACCATCGATTTATCAGTGGGAGGCGGCAAAGATATTGCTTTGTATTATTATATATATATAACTATACACCGTAACTACCAATAGGTATAGGTCAATTTCAAATGCAATTTTTTATCGGTATACCATACGTGAAATAATTCTATTTATGCACACATATTTGTACCTAGACAAGAGGTGTACTAGACAAACCACGATTTCAGTGTAATACTCAGTATAGCACGCAACACAAAATGACCAGTACAATTAATATTCAAATGTTTAGTACTTACGACTTATGAAAAATGTGTAGCTTATTATATGTTGTGTTCAAAATCTCCAAATTGTTTTTATGATTTTACTACTTTGCGTCTATGCACACATTTCTTAAAGAGGCATAATTAATATACAGCGTAAAATAGATACATACAGTTCATTTTTTTTTTTTTTTTTAGATAGAGATTATTATTTTATCAAGTATAGAATAATATAAAATGAATTTTTGACGTTGATTCGAAAATATTTCTACTGTACTCAGCGAATATAAGTATTTAAGCATAAGTAAGATAACCAGTATTAGCAATAAATATATTTTAATAAACTTGAGTTAAGTACATAATAATAAATTATCATACTACAAAAATGTAAAAATGTATCATAAATTAATTATACTACAATTATTATAGTTGAAAAATGTATTAATACTTACTCAATACTTGAAAACATCAAAATATATTAAATAAAGTATATAATGAAATATTGTGTTGGGAAAATATTTATTATTTTATATTTTGGTGATTTCAATTTAAAAACCCAATAATACTAATTTTTAATTTTGTTTTTGGACGTACTTTAAAGAACACTGTTAGTTTTAAGAAAGTGTTTTAAATGTTTTACTTATTAATTTTTAATGATTTAATATTATTTACTAAACTATCATAACATATTACTTTTTACAGTTCGAAATCGTTTTATACTTTAAATATTAAATCATTAAAATATATGATACTAACTGCAAAAATCTAACGTCTAAACGTCTAAGTTATATTTTTAATCAATAAATAAATAATAAAATGAGTAAATTTAAACTCTAAAAAAGAAATTCTTTAAAAAAGTAAACGAAATTAATTTATATTGAAGTAAATAGATACCTACTCGATTCTTTCCGATCCCCTACCCTTAAAATCACACGAAACGTAAGTCGGTCAAGTGAACTACATAGTATACATATATATATATATATACACATAAACACGTACTGTAGATACGTATAACGCCAAATATATTACTTCGGCTATTTTTCAAATGCGTGTCCTGTACCTATGTTCAGAAATCTTATGTTCAAACATGATCCCACTGAATACGTGGACAAATACGACAAACAGTATTTTATTTAATTGAGCAAACAAAAAAGTGTTAAAAAAACCTTTCGTATGTATGCTTAGCAATTTTTGGGATAAAATGAACGCCCTTCTTCATTACTCGCGTCGCCAAAGAAACTATCTATTCGTGTAGCAATCGATAATGATAACAATTGTATTTATTTTACTGATGTTGTAAGTTTTGTATGTATGGTACAGGGCCGATGGAACAGGCGTTGGACTTACCGCAGGAGATGACACAGTGGTCGGAGGCCCAAAGACACCACAGCAAATCGCGGCGCAAAAGCGATTGCAACAAACACAAGCACAAGTGGACGAGGTACATGCAAGCGAAAAAAAATGTGTGATTTATTCGTTATTTATTGTATAACTCAATGTGTTATATTTTAGGTGGTGGATATCATGAAGACAAACGTGATGAAGGTATTGGACAGGGATCAAAAACTCTCCGAACTGGATGATAGAGCAGGTTCAAATCATTTTTGTTCATTATTAATATTTAATATAAATTCTAATTCTTTTATTATTGTTATTTATTTTTATTTATTTGTTGTCGCAGATGCATTACAACAAGGAGCATCGCAATTTGAACAACAGGCTGGAAAACTAAAGAGAAAGTTTTGGCTACAAAATTTAAAGGTATGTTACAACATTTAAGACTAAGGTACACGTAAAATATATATAAAAAAACTAATACGTCTTGTACAAGTATTGGATCAATAACTTCTTTTTTAAGAGAAGAAAAAAATAGTTCATAATTAAGGAATTAAAGATAAAGATATAACATATTTTATAACTAACATTTTTAGGTCAACACTTAATAAATTATATTAAAAATGTCTATAGAAAATAAACTAAAAACCGATAGAGCTGTAGACATACGAAATAAAATTAACGCTTTGAGGAAAAGTATTTCATGATTGTAAATTACTATTTTAAATAGTTTATAACAGTCTTTAAACACCATGTTTCGTAACATATAAAATTTATGGCTGTAATTGTCTTTTCATTTTATGTATATCCATTTGATGTAAAATATATTGTAAAATAGGTCAAAATGTCAAATACTTGAAAATTAAATGTTATTTGAGAAATATACGAGTATGAGGGCGCCGTCATACACTGATTCGTTTTTATATTCGATCTACAAATATATTAAATATATATTTTAGCATAGCTTAAACTATATGGCCTAGTTTATTATAATTTATAAACATATAAATTATTTAAAAATTTAAAAACTATACGAATTTTTTTTGTCAATATTTAAGTTTTGAAATTAAATAATGATATTATTATATTAAAAAAAAAAATGCATAACTCGTGATAAGTGTATGTTTTGTTTTTAAATTTTACATATTTTAATAAAATACCAATTAACTTTAATACTTCTAGTTACTCAAGTTAAAATAATACTAAAGGTTATTGGTAAATGCATTATGTTGCGTGTTAGATCATATAATGATAATAATAATCGATGTAGATATCTGCAATATATACTAGATATACCTATTATACCTAAAAGTTGTACATTTTTTCCAAATGTTAGTAATGTAGCACAACTAGTAATATATACCAAGATAACTACTACAATTAACTTCTATATTTATATCTACTGAACACTGTTTATGAAAATAGTTACATTTTTATACTAAATTTGATACCGTATTTTAAACAAAAGTCAATATGTTTTTGCGTTCTTTATGAATTGTTATGTGGTTTTATAACTTCTTTTCAAATGTTAAAATGAGTTGTTGAAATCAATTACTTCATAAAAATAACCTTTGGTAATAAAAAATAAAATATATGGATATCACATTGTATTAGATGGATTTAAAAATAATTACCTTTCTTTGTAACTTGTAAGATAGTTTTTACTTTATACTTTATACTTTGTCATTATTATTTTGATGTATTTTAAACATATAATATATTAAATCTTTTTAATAATCATTTTTTTTTAAATAACTATTTAATCTTAGAATTATTGTGTATAAAATTTAGAGAAAACATATATTTTATAAAACTTTATTAAATTAAAATACACAATTTAAAATTTTTGATTACCTTTAACATATTGTAATTAGTAACAATCATGAAAAAAGTCAATTTATATGTTTTATAATTTAACCAAATACATTATTACTACTTCGAAAATGTACAAAGGTAATGCAATATTTAATCAAGGGCCACACCCTCTTTCAAACAAGTAAAACAAATAATCATAATTATTAAGAACTTTTATTTAAAAAAAAAAAAACCTGTCTGTCTTTATAATTTTAACCACTTAAAAATTTCATAAATTTATTTATTCTTTATTAAAATACTAGTTTAATATATAGTTATCCACACCAAAATTAAAAAAACTCATAACATTATAATATACATGCATTTTTTAAATGCTTTATATTTAGTGTAGTTTTAATCAATGATAAGTATCACTTATATTTGTTCACATTATAATATTAAATAAATGAGGTACCTATATCTCAACAAATTTATACTACTTGTAAATGGCTATCTTAACAATATACAAACTTTAAATAAAATATAACAAAGTTATATAAAATATTAAATTAAATATTTTCATAATTTTTCATTGCAATACTTAAGAAATAAAATAAAAATTTTAAATAAATATTATTTAGGTTTACTACAACTTATTTTATAGGAAAAATTATAATAGTTGTTTATCCTGATCTTTGCGCAAATATTTTACTACCTACAAACCACATTATAAGGAATCAGTTTGTTTACAAACGTAACGTATAGTTATAATGTTACGATTTAAAATAATTATTTTATTGTTCTTTATTAGTATCAAATTTAATAGATTGAGTAGGCTTTAAAAAAATGGAATTTTTGAATTTTTGAATTTTTTATTTCAGATGATGATCATAATGGGAGTTATTGGTCTCGTAATATTAGCCATTATAGTTGGTAAGTTCCAATAAAAAAAACTTTGATGGCTTAAGAGTGTATAACATACCGGATAATTATACAAATTTACCTATTCACAAAAATAATTGTTTAAAAAACGAATACAATATACAATAGAATTTAATTAAGCATTCCTCAAGTTTCAATTATATATATGATATAACATTTCAGTTAGAAACACACAAAATTAACAAATATTGTTTTAAAGCTTATTTTTTTATTCAAAATTCAACTTTAATTTATCCTTATAATACTTTAAAAATAATTATGTATTATCTATGTATTATATATATATATATTTATATATATATACATATTTTTTTTTTTAGTACTTATTTGATTACCAATATAAAATATAATAGTATATATACAAATATATATGTATACATTATAAATAAATACATTTATATATATATATACATTTAAATATATAAATATATATGTATGTATTATGTATATAAATAATTGATGTGTTCAGCTTAAAAATATTGTTGTTTAGCTGAATTTAGGACATTCGTTGTATTATATAAGGTCATATATACTATCAATAATATTTCCTAAATATTACTCGTTTATAATGTTTGAATAACACAGTATTATCCATTTTTAGAATAATTTATTTAGGTAAAAAGTTAATAAAATAAAACATAATTTTATTGTGCTATTATTAATTACGTGTCTTGTATTTAACAATGTATACTAAACACTACTTATATAATATACATTATATACGTAATATTATACATATTTAAACCCTCTCCACATATTATATTGTATTATATTATATACTTACACGATAAACTAAAGAAATACTTTAAACAAAGCAGCAGAATATTAAAAAAAAAGAACAAAAATACATACATAATTTATTATACATTAAAACATATAATACACAATGGATAATCATGCTTTGTTTTGTGTGTCGTTTATTTATTATTATAATTTTTTCGTTCTGATAACGTCATGTGTTTAATGCATTTTGTTTCGACAACCGTTGATACTTAAATACTTGAACATAATTCTTGTTGAAACAATCTAACGCGAACACACTATTTTCTTCGGTATGTAATCTGTTATTAGGTAATTTATCTTTAAATTATAAATTATTTAATACTTTTATATTTCTTTTGTGTTTTGCACTAGTATTGCTATAAATTATCACGAATTTACTTTCATTATTAACAACTCCTAATGTACGAAATAGAGAATTGAAAATAAATGCTATGCCTTGAAAACCCTTTAAATATCGTAGTCCTCCCAATTTTAAATTATTTAGTACTTATATAGTATATAAAATATTGTTGGTCATCAATAATACACGACCATGGACGTGCAACGGAATATAGATTAAAATATAGATCATTTAATTTAATATAAATATTTCTTTGACTTATATTAATTTATTGCCTACTAGTCATTCATTTCATTCGATCATTTACACTAAACATATAGCTATAATTATTTAAAGTACTTACATATTTTATGTATGTAAATTTGCATGGCTTATTATTATTATTTATTTATACACAAGATAATGCACTATGATATTTTAATAATAAATGTTATTGCAATTCAATCAGTTAATAAACCCAAAAACAAATTATGTTTTGATCAATTTATAATAATATAATACTATCAGTTGCTCAAAAAGTTAATTTTTTAGATATTGTAGTTTTTATAAATTACAAATTTATTTTGCACTTGTCTTTATTTGAAAAAAAAATGTTTAACATATTGTAAATCGCATAGGTATTAATTTTAAAAATGCTATATTAATATTATATGGTAATAACTGTGTAGTTAGCACGAATTTGTTTTCTTATAAGACCATATAGATATTTTACCGGAAACAAAGACAATATAAACCTACACCATACATAGTATTATACAGTACGTATATACATTTACACATTCCATATAACAATAGTAATTCACTAAAGTAAACTTTATAAATTATGTATTTATACGTACTACTTAAATTAATTTTAAAATACCTATTTGATTCATCTAAATAATAATAATTAAATTAAGGTTATAAAATATGATATAATTTATTACTTGTTAATGATAGGTATCTAAATTTAACTGATAACAATTAGTAAAAACCAACTCTTGTTTTTAAATTAAAAAATAAAATGTATGATATATAATTTATGTTAAATATGAATAATATGATTCTTATAATTTAAAATAACTAATAAATACAATGATAACAATATTTAAATTTAAATTATAAATATAGAATATTCACCTAAACTTCCTTTAAATACTTTTATACAGTTTAAAGATTGTAGGAAAGCCCATTTTTGTATAATACATTTAAATTATCAAATATGACTATGGTAAAATATTTGATCTACTAGAGTACTAAATATTTATAGAATTATTTGATAAATTATAAAATTTGTTCTATCTTGAATGCGACTTAGATATGTGAAATAGGAAGCCGAGGATTTTTCTTTGTTAATTATTGTATTTTATTTTTTGGTATAGTACTATAACCATGTTAGTAAAAAATAAAAACGAATCTTTCAATTATTTACAAGAAAGCATAGTAATTTAGTACCATCATGCGGGCCTTAGTCATAATTCATAAATATTATCTATAAATTACAGTAGATCACATATTTAATCACGGCCAAAAATAAATAATACAAATTAAATGTTTACAATTTTTAATTAAATACTTATTTCATAAACATTTTCAATATTGCTTTTAGTCGTAAGAATACAAGTATCAATACAGTTTTTGGTACTTTGTAGTTACTATATTATGTACTTAATTATATAGAGCAATTTTATCTTGATTATTATATCTACTATTAAATAGATTGCATTATTATTATAGTTATTATATCTAATTAAATATGTTAAAATATTTATTATTTTTTTTGCAGCTTGGTTTTCGGACGAATAAAGCTAGGTAACAAACTTTGATGCGAGCCACCACACACAGTGATCATCGTTACAATCGTCAAAAACGTGACTCTTTAAATAATAAAAGAAACTGAAGGTGCATTAAAAATAAAAATAAAAACCTATAGGTATATATAAATATTATATATACAATCTACATATATATATATACTAAAACTACATAAATATCGCTTTGAATAACTGCCCCTGCCAATAAAAAAAAAAAAAAACTATCGTAATAGGTTCTCGTTTAAAATGATTTTTGTTATACAGATACAAATTTACATGGCATACCTACACGTACATCCATATACGGTTATCTCCATACTAAAATAAATAAAAAAAACTACATGTACTTATCTGTATATAATATATTATATTATGTAATGTGTATGTATGTGTATGGATGTATGTATACTTTCTTCAATACCAAAGTATACGAATTCTTGATGAGTAATACAAATATCTATAAATCTACATACGATAGAGTATCCTTTTGTAAATATCACTTAAAACTATTTTATACAATGTACATGTCTATCATCACATATTATAGAACTATAACAGAGTTTGTAAACCTTCACTATATAACATATTTTATTGAATCATAAAAATTGGGTAGGATTCTCAACATATTATACCTACGCTACAATAATATTATACTCTCATACGTATATTATTATTATTATTATTATTATTATTATTATATGTATGAAAACCTATTCATTGTTATTTTATAGAGTACTTATAAATTTATATGAGTATTGATTGTACTTATAATATTTATATTCGCTTATTACATTTTGAATAGTTTATTATATATTATATATGGGAAAAACAACAGCTAAGCATATTATAATAATCTATTAAATTGTTATAAACAATGTGGCAAAACAAATTTGTTAACAGATAATTTAAAAACAATACACCATACACGTAACCCATAACTATAAGTCTAATATTAATGGTTTTTATATCAATAATATGTTTTACTCCCAAAATAAAGTTTTTATGGACATTTATAATAAAATTTAACCCCCCATTTCTGGACAAATTGATGTTATAATATAATAGCAATATATTTTGAGTTGTAGAAATAAAAAGTTGTATGTCGTTAAAACAAAATTTTTAATAATTTTAAATCCACAAAAAATAATTTAAAAATATGTTTTATTGTTATATATATATAGGTACGTTTTTAGTAAACGTCTTTAAAATAATCACATTTGCGTTATTTTTAATACTCGATGATTTATGGTTAAAAACTTAATATAAATAATAGAAACAACGGCAACAAGCATTTTTAAATCAAAATAAAGTAAATACATTTTCAAAAAAATATTTTTATTTAAGTATTAATTAAAATTTTATTGTTAGTTATTAAAGATAACTATTTTTTCTTTCATTTATTCTATTAGCTACCGTAGATGTTTATCATAATATGTTCACTATGTTTAATAGAAAATTGTCATTAAATCAGAGTGTACTTACATAGGATTTGTTATTCACTTCTGCAGGTAATCTTGACGAGATTAAGCTTAATTTATGAAATTCAAAGAAATATTAATAAGCATATAATATTGTATCACTTGTTAAAGTCAGTAAGCTTGGTGTGCGCGGCGAGTAAACTCATTCATTGCTTAAGACTATTATTGTTTTTATTAGAAATAACTAATAAAATTGTGTTTCCGTGACCATTGGTTTTTTCAACTTTTAATTACTAATCTACCCGCATAAATCAAGGGAATATTATAAATGCAATCCGCGTGCTCTGCAAATAAAAACATCTTGAATATCCCATTAGTCTGTTCTTTGTAATTATAGAATTGAATAATTTATAAGATAATCTTGAAAACCTATTTCAAGTGCACTTTATCTATAATAATGCAACATGTGATTTATGGAGAGCTACATAATTTTTATCATTGAGAATTTTTTAAGAGTGATGTGAGAATAATTAAGGTATAAGGGCGGGTATGCTATTTGTTTGTTGGTATACTTTAAATATCTTCTTATCTATACAGAAAAAAATATAAATTAAAATTAAAAATATAACGTTGTTACTTTTTATGTTTGCATCCGTGAATTGAGTGAATAGATAGAGTAGATGATACTTTATTGGTGATAAATAAATAATTATAATCAAATGTTAATAATTATCTCTTAAATCGAATAAGAAAATCAATTTAGAATTCTTAATAATTGACATTCTCAAAAAATAGCTAAAATTAACAATTCAAAACATATACAATATACATACTCAATAGGTATAAGTATCACACTAGGTATGAAACATTAATTAAGTATAATATATGACGAACTTCATTGAAAATTAGACTCATATAGTTATTGGGGGTTTTGTGTAAACTTTCTTAATACTATTTTCTAAGTCATCAAGAAAAATTGAAAAATACTACAGTGTAGAAACAAACTGCTACAAAAAAAGCTTCACTCAGAATTTATTGTTTTTAGATTATGTCACTATTAAATTTAATAATTTTTTTAAACATGATAATCACACTAAGGAATAATACAAGTTAATATTATTGTTTTTCATATCTGTTAAATACAAATAATTTTGTTTAAACAATAAAGCAACTATAACTAATAATCAGGTACCCCAGTACATAGTCATATAAATATGTTATACCCAACTACTAAAATCAAATGGTCACTATTAATTATTATATAGGTGAAGTTAGGTATACTTTATATCTTAATACGGACTCACGTTAGTTAGGGCTTGAGTTACTGCCTATTTATAACATTATAATACTGATAAATTTTGTAATTATTGTTACCTAGCTCGATGATTTTTAAGTTTTGAAACCGAAAAACAATGATGTTAATATTTATGGACTTAAACCTTTTTTCAATAAGTCAAGTAATACTCAGTATAATTAACTATTTAATTTATTGTAAACCGATGACGTATCGACAAAAATAACTGATATCGGAAAAGTTTGTTATTATAATCATACGTTTAACATAAGACAATGCAATTTGTGTCTATTTGACTACCTATTACATAAAAACATTATATTAACACCTCTTGAAATTAATTATAATTGTTGTATCAATGTCGAAATGATAATAGAAATTTATAAGGGTATATATATAATATATTTTATCTCCCACAGTGTTAAAGTAATTATTATTAAAACATAACATTTATTATGTAATTAGAAAAGTAAAATTTTTGTTATATATTATTAAATTTATCTCCATCGTCGACCAATATTGTCTAAATGTCAAGCTTAGTGATTTGGAAATTTGTTCTTACATTTTCCAATATTTAATGCGTATAGATTTTTTATTGTAATAATAATAATATTTGAAATATACAAACAACACCAATTTAATTGCGCAACGTGCGTATATTAGATATTACCTAGGTATTTATAAAAAAAAATAAATAAATAATATTATTATTAGTTTGTAAAAATTTTGTTTACAAAAATGTTTAATGAACAAAAGATATTATATGCTCGTATATAATTTAGGTATACTACGCATAACCGGAGTGTTAAACGGGAATGTATTACGTGTTCCGGATGTAATATTATTTATAAAATGAAATTATAATAATAACATATTACACATATACGATTTTATTAAGTAGAAAACTTTTTTTGTGGCGTCTACTAAATTTGTATAGAATATAATATTATTATACACTTATATAACGTATGACATGTGTGCATATATATTATTAAATATTTCAGTATTATGATATTAAAATATATAATATATATAAATACATAATTATTATTATGAAAATGTTCCTCATGAGTTTAATATAGTATATGGATCTGTGGCGTAACCAAGGGGTTATGAGGCCGAGAGGCTTCAGCCCCCCGCGAAATTTCAGGAAAATTTAAAAATGTTTTCAGTGTTGTATGAACGTATTTTGTAAGACATAACTTTGTATGAAAAATTGTATTTCCATAAAATAATGTTCGCAGAATAATCTTAAATGTTGTGCACCCATTATAGCACTATTGCAGTGTAACGAGTCTATCCAAAATTAAACCTCCTCTATAAAACAAATTTTCCGCCCCTCCTCACCAAACCATGCAAACCGTTAATACGCCACTGGTTTACCTTTAAACTTATTCATGACGTATTATGCATATACCTATAAGCCTAATTCGTTATCCTGCCGAGTCTACCACAACTTATGAACTCTAATAAATACTATTCAATTTTACTATAATATAGGATCATTGAATATGCATGAATATTTTACGTGGAACTATTTTGTTGTTCCCGTTTTTTGGGTATTTGAAAAATTTTCTGCTATAAATAATTGTGCTGTCAGTATTAAACATAGTGATGCAGTTGGAATACTTATAAATGATAATATAATAAAAAATGACGGTATTTACATTTTTCTTGCAAAGTGTATCGTATAGTTTTCCAGCGTTCGCTACAGTGAAAACCGCTCGATAAATGTTGTCTTTTTTTAAGTTTCTGATTTACAAATTATAGTTTTTAAGTCATACTATAAAATTATAATAAATTAAAAATACAAAGAAAAAAAAGACGAACTGCGATTATAAGCAAATAAAAAAAAAAGTGCACTTTTAATTTCATAACAATCGTAATTGTAAACCATATTATACACCATAGAAATAGTATATTATATTCTATCGACCTCATTTCTTCTGCAACCACGTGGAAGCGAACGCACTTTCGATCCTTCGTCACAACACCATTCAACAAAAGGTACGAAACGAAGTGCTCACAATATATTTTACGACACAATTTCATCGTGTCATTCGGGTGTATAAATCAAATGGTGCAGCTAGCAAAAGGGATTATGTCACACTACCATATTGAATATATATATTATATCACATTCATATCTCATAATTGTACGTTTCGCGAAATAGAAACTCTTTTTTTCCACTTCGCGTAATTCCGCTATCTGGACAAAATTTTACGAAATGGATACCTAAACTACACATAACGGAAATAGTTCCGTCTTATGGACAAACACTTAACGTATCATGCCAACCTTTAATAATTCTACGTATGTTCAGTTCCCAATTGGTTCATATCAGTTTTTTAATTAACCACTACTCCAATGATTTTCGCCGAATCCAACGACGTTTATCCACCTTAGGAACTGGAATGATCACCACATAGTCTCCAACTTTAAATGTAGGTATAGTTAAATGATAAACGCTTCCATTTAGTTGAAATAATCGTGTAATTTTATTATGAACAAACAACTATGATACTATAGGTAATTAACAACTTTCATATAGGTAACAAAATAGTTTCTGTACTGGAGATACCAACGCGAGTTCGCCAGTTGTTCGATAAGTACATGTAACCTACGCGAAGTGGAAAAAAAGCGTTTCCATTTTGCTAAATGGTTATAAACTTTGTCCATTTTGCGAACGCACAATTACTCGATATGAATGCAATACACACACACACATATATTAATAAAATCATTGATTTCGTTACCATTCCGAGTGAAATTGCTGACTGTCGTTGGCATTTACAGTTTTCACGGACATAACAGTTTGAGGTGAAAAAAATTACAAAATCAAAATATTTTAACAATGCGAAAACTAGAGATAGAAAATATTTTTCCTACAAAACGAACATTATTTCCGGTCAAATGTCGGCAAACCGATTCAATATTGTATATAACACGATATTCTCATTCTTCTAACCCGCTCGCCGTCCAGTCTATATTACATACATAATATATTATAGTAAGTGCGTATAATACACGTAATATTATAGTAACTGCTGCAGTTAAGTAACGATTATTGCCCGTCTCACAGTAACGGGACACGGCGGCGTAGGTATTATATTATATATATAATTATATATTATTATTATATTAGTTACATGCGTTATGCCGCCGATATCACGGCGGCGTCGAAAATAAGTCGTCTAGGAGCAAGCGTCGTGATTGATAGTGACGGCCAGGTGGTGGTCGTCGTCGTCAACGTCGTCGTTGTCGCTGTCGTCGGCGAAGTGTGCTTCGATCTCGTCGAACCGTTTGCCCATCGTCTCGGGCAGACGGGCGTACACATACACGGCCATGGCCAGCGACGCGGCGGCGAACGCGGCGAACGTCGTGGCCACGGGACGTCCACTGCCGTCGCCGCCGTCGGCCACCGCGTACGGGAACGCTTTGAGCACGACAAACATGAGCGTGTACGCGTACGCCACGATCGCGGCGCCGGCCGCTGCCCGGACCGAGACGGGCAACAGTTCGCCGATCAGCGTCCACGGAAACACGAGCACGCCGGCCGAGCCGCTGCACGCGAACACGGCGACGCCGATCAGCGGCCACACCGGCGCGGCCTCCGGGCCACAGGTCAGTGCCACCAGGGCGGCCGAGCATGCCATGGCCAACGACGACGCTATGAGCAGAGGCCGGCGGCCGATGTGCGCGGACAGCACGCACGCCACCACGCTGGTCAGCAGCCGGACAGCGCCTAGCGCCACCATCACGTCCATGTCCGAGTACGGTCCGCCGACGGCCGCGTTGCCGGCCACCGACCGCATGACCGGCACGGCGTAGAATATCACTGGGTAACAGCCACTTAGCTGCTGTAACAGGAACACGGTGGCCAGCACGCGCACCGGCCGCATCACGGTCGGCGGCTGCGGTGAATGCCACCAGCCGCTCCACTTCCGCTTCCGTTGTCGATTAGCTCGTCCGCAGCTGCTGCAGTGCGACGGTTGTGCATGCACCGCCGTTTCATCCGCAGTCGTCGTCGTCTTCGCCGCGAAGTACAGACAGTCCAGCTCCTCAGTAAACACCTGCGCAGTAACAAAATATGACCATTAACCTGTAGTCCAAAAAGCGTCCGCAAAAATTTTTCACCTATACGTAATTTCAATGGAACCCGAAAAAGAATTTTTCGAGATTTAAATTTTAAAAAACTAATGATTTATTTATCATCTGAAAATCTCAACTATTATTATTATTATTTTTTTTTTTTTGAAAATCAGAAAGTACATTAAAATGATTAGATTTAGTGCATTGTTTAGATTTAATTTTGCGCACCAATCCTGTATTTTATACAAATTTGAGCTATCGTTTATAGTTTTGAAATAAATATGATACATTTGCTGGTCAATTATTTATGATTTTGCGTGTCGAGTTTAAAGCCGTTTAATTAATAATAAAAAATACATATGTTACTGATTGTATATAATTTATTAGTTATAAGTCTTGTTAAAAAATAAAATAAATATTACTTTTTAGTCGGCTTTAAATTGTCAAGATAGTATTTCTATATACACATACACGTCTCAACTGTTTTAACAATTTGCCTAGATGAGTAAACTATAGTTCATTCTTAATGTATTTTATGCATAATTTAAATTTAAGCTATAGTAATTACTAATTAATGTTAAATTAATTAATTTCATCCGAATCGAGTGTTTTTGGGTATATATAAATGTCTAATTATTAATATGTACCTACCTATTAAACAGTGTTTATCATACACATATACACATCATGGACGTTTTTTGAGTGTGTTGTAAAAATTATAATTTTTATATTGTAAATTATAATAGATGCAATGAAAATTCAAAACTATTTTTATACTATTATTTACATAGTTGATAAGTACAAATTATGTACAATAATATATTAGTTATAATATAAATATACTATTAAATATCACCATACAATTAATGTTATTCTTTATTCTTCCAAAGTTAAAAAAATGGATCGAATAATTTTATTGATAATAGCATTGATTATAGAATCAATGAAAATAGGTAAGTATATGCTATTAATTTATTTAATATTTATTATAATTTATAATAAAAAAAAGGTTTCAAAACAAATTGGTCTTATCACGCATTCGCGTAGCACGTGTCTGTACCTTGAACATCATAAACGTTATACGTAATGTAGATTTCAAGATTATTGAACTGCATAAAATAAATATGATATGTTATTATTATATAATATACCTAAAAAAATTACGTATAAGTAATATTTTAATAAACAAATACCAAACTCACAAAAAATCATAAGAAAACATTGAAGTACATTATATAAATTGGGATAATAACCTATTTTCTCCTTTTCTCCAGAGTTTTGATATTAATAAAATATAGGTATTAATATATTTTTTATTTTTATTGATATATTCTACTTTTAAATATTTTATCAAGGTAAATTATATGGTTTTTTGATAAGTAATCAGTAATTAATAAATGAATTATATATTATAAACGAAATTTATTTTTGATTTCGTCTGTCGGCGACTTGCTTTGTAAGAAAGTATAACTTATCAATTTTAAGGTAATAATAATTAACCCCATTTATTAATTAATCAGTTTAACAATGTACCTTAATGTGCCAAGTGCCAACATTCATTATTTAGTTTTTTTTTAACTATATTCAAAATGTATGTAATTTTCAGTTGTGCAGCTTTTGGTTAAAAATATTATTAGTCTACGAGGACAAGTCATGTGAAGTAAAATGACACAATCCCGTTGGTACTCCTGCTATTTAACAATAAATATTCAGAAAAATCTTAAACACTTAGGTATTAATAAATACGAATTAAAATATTAAAAAATGTTTAAATTTAAAAATAGTATTGTGAACATATGTTTGTATTATTTTATCCCATATACGGGGAAATTGGCGGGATATTTTTCCTTAAAAAAAAATATTGATACAAATTACAAATTATAATATACTCTCGTCTTCTTAAGATAGATATTTAAATATATGTAAATTTATCTTAGGGAATATTTTTAATTGAGCCAAAAATTAGAAGGACTGTTATCCTCTGGCTCTTTTACCGATACGTCGGTACCTAACGTCCTAACACATATAATATTTATTAATAACATCAGAGTTGCACTTTTACATATTAGCAGTAGATACCATATTGATATCTCCAGCATGTTTTAAGTTTAAGTTTTTAAAAATCTATGGAAATACTTAATTTAATAAATAAGACAGATTAAGAGAATTTGTCAAAATTGTCAAACGAACTTGATTGTTTTTTGGATATATTCTTCTCATCGAATTTCTGGCGTCGTACATACGATTGGTCCGGAACTTAGCTAACCAAACCGGACTCTCCGGTAGAAAGATGACTAGAAGTACTGTTGTGACGGCCGTGAATATGAAAAATATAACGTTGACTGTCTGCCACTGGAACAGCGATCCAACCATAGTTGCGAACAGTACGCCGACCGAAAAAAATACACTGTTCAGCGACAACAACACTTGTCTATATGAAGAGTGAGCTATTTCCGAGACGTAAACGACGACCATGGACGTCATGCCTGTAAATCGAAAACAGTTCATCTGTACATATTAATACACTATACAGTATATACCAAGTATGCGAACTGTACCACCTGGGTACTTATCTACTATTATTTATTTTAATGAGGTCTATCACAAGAAATCGACTTTATATCCATATGTATCTTATAAGTTATAAGTTATCAAGTCTTACCTCCGCCAATACCAGCGAAAAATCGACACGCGTAGATCAAACTCATGTTTTCAGGTCGAGCTACCGAAGCGATCGACCACGATATCAAGAGCGGCACGGTCGTGAGTAAAAACGCGTTTTTTCTGCCTATCCGGTCCATTATGATGCCAATCGCGATCGCTCCGATTGGTGTACACAATACTAGAATGCTAGCTAAAAACGCATCCATACTCTCGTTATAATGTTATATGTAATAAATAATAATGGACTATTGTGTAATCGTTAATAGGAACTGCAGTTGACATCGCATAGATTAATTTATAGAGATCAATGGCTCAAGTGATACATTAGTATACATGGATCTAAAGCTAGTGAATTTTCAGAACATATTGATACCATATTTTGTCTATTACCGGTTTAAACGGTATTTTTAGTAACTAATTAATCACAATATACCAAAAATACCACTACCCATAACTAATACCATTTACTAAACACAATTATCATTTTCAGCGATTAATAAATTTATGTAAAGTCTAATCTAAACACAAGACAGTAATAATAATATAGTATAGGTAAGTATATTATTGAGTGTTATTAATTTAAATTTAAATCTATCTATAACAACTCATCGCCAATCGAAAAATGTACTATTAATTGGGTATTTTCATAATTCGATAATTAAGGCATATTTTAATTTATACTTACTTAACCAAGACAACTCTGAAACATCAGTAAATTCATAGTGATTCAGAAATATGTTCGAATAAACCATATTGATTCCAGGCTGAGTGACCAACAAAAAAGCAACTATACTTGATAATATCTAGGTAGAAATACAATTAATGTACATCATTCCAATATTAAAAAAAAACGTTTTTAATCTTTTTTTAAGTATATTATGTATTTTTTGATTTTATTAAATTTGACAGCGTAGTTTTAATATGGTATCGAGAACCAATAATCGATAATTTCGAAATGATGTTTAAGTCATATTAACCTGAGGGAAAAGATCTCCCATAGACAACTTTTTCGTGACAGTTTGTTCGATGAGGCATATGGTATCATTTGATTTTGATTTGAATCTATTTTAAGGACAAAAATAAAAATATTTAAGAAATAGTTAAATGGTAGAAAATAATAAAATTATAGGTCATAATTTATAAGTAAATTATACAAAGATCTAAATTAAGAATCAATACAAAACATAATGAATCTATTAAAAGAAAGCAATTAATTTATGTAAATCAATAATTACTGAGGTTATTTTATATAATGTATTTTGATTATTCGTAAAATAATTAAAATTGAAGTTTTAAAATGCACAAAATTAATAATGAGCAAATATAAATATATATAGCTAGTATAATAATAATTTAATCATAATATCATGTTATTATAGTGTGTATTTTACAGTATTTTTTTTTTTACTTACTGTATTCCATTCGATAGGGTTCGCTGATTTTTCCAGACGAATGAATTTCTGGAAATAAGTGGTGTAGTAAACGTTCTATACGCCATTGTATATAATATAATGAATGAACCATAAATATGTGTTGTATCATCATGTTATAACGTATAAATGTATACGCATTAATCCAATGTACGAATTCGATTCTTTTTTAGCGTACTTTGATATATAGCAACTTCTTATCTCATCGTTTTAATTATACGTGCATGGATTTAATTTGATATATTACGATGGTATGTATTGTTTAAAAACGGAATATAACTAAAACGTTATCTAAAATATTAAGCAATCACGTCATAATATTAGACCTTACCTGATTAACGAAAATCTTTGTTGTTATCCACAAGACCACAAATATACATTATGGACAATAAGTACTCGGGTAAGTATACGAAATAACCAACTTCTAGATGTGAGTGCTGAATAGTATGCGAACAGCAATGAACATTAATTAATATTATAATATTATAACCCAATAATCATTATTAGGTATAAATACCTAAAATACCTTATTGTATTGCCTAATCAAATACAATTTGTTCAAAATTAAATTTCGGTACACCAAGGTTACTTGTAATACGTTACATATAAAAAACACATGTACTATTAGTAAGTAAATGTAGGTACCTATTATATATGTAAGCGTACGAAACAAAGTAATAGAACTTTTAATGAAATAAAATACAAATTTAATATTATAAAAGAGATTAGACAATACAAATACTTCAAAGTAGCTTAGTCCAAAAATATCAATAGATAAAGGTTTTTTTATAAAATACGATATAGGCAACGAAAATTTTGATGATTAGGATTATTAGTTTATTAGTTACCTAACACTATTATTGTTATAATCTAATCTACGCGTAAATAGAATCCAAAATTCAAATAGTTATTGTATATCCAATAAATTAATTGTATTAGAACACGATAATTTGTATAAAAACAGTTTATTATTTATCATACATATTTAGCCCATCTACACTTGAAACGAGAATTAACAATTAGTAAACATATTACGTATTATTATTTTACCTAAATGAATTAACTATACATATAACGACGTGAACAATAACAATATGACACTTAAAAATTAGAATTATGATTGTGCGTATTGATTAACGTTTGTTTTCATAATTTCATATGCCATTAATAGATTGCATACCGAACTATATTATTAATAAATTATCACAGGATCAAATTATTCGTATGCAATAATATTAATATTGTGGTTAATGGTTATTTGATTTTTAATTACAAAATAAAATAGATACCAGGTATCGAAAATACCTATAGCGGGTGTGTAATAGACTCGTGTTAACGAGTAGAACAAAAGTATTTTAGTACTTTGTTCTAGGGCACCTCAGAAGGGCGCAAATTTTTTCGCACAAAAATGACCTTCCTCTTTTCGATTAAATATGATAAAATAGTTTCCACTTTTTACCTAAAAATAATTGCATTATTTTCATATACAATTAATAAGTAACTATCAAGTGATAAGTAGCAATCAAGTAATATATATCAACACAAACACAAAACATTTTTGTATTGAGTAATAAAAGTTGCTTCCTCTTGGTGCTCTCTGGGCTATGCTAAATACATTTTTATAACCTATAATAACCGAACATAACCTTTGGGACAACTTTTTTCAAAATATTGAATTTGAAACCATGGGCAATAATTATTTGGTCGAAAGTTCACAGAACACAAAGTCATATTATTTTAATATCAAGGACTCTAAAATTACATTATCATTTAAATGTATATATTTTGTACAGTTTAAAATTTCTAATACCGTAAAAATCAATTTTATTGATTTTAAGAATTTCACATAAATTAATTGCTGCAAGAATCAATTTTTTTTTCATCAAAACATTTATTAAATTTATGAATATATATATATATATATTAATTAATTTTAAAAACATATTCAGTGTATTATATTATGACAACGATGTTTATAAAAAATATCTAAAAATATAATAATAATAATATTAGGAAATATTTTAATCTAGGTATACGTATACATGTTTTTAAGTTAAAATGCAAGGGCAAGAATTAGAACAATTAATGTTTGCTAGAATAATTATCTAAACTATAAACTGTTTATTGATTGTAAACACACATATATATTCATAGAGAGAGAGAGAGTGAGATTGAGATTGTGGAGATAGAGAGAAAAACGTATACAAAACTCTATGAAAGTACCTTTAGTGATTACAAGTGAGTTCGCCGTCTCATAACTCCATCCACAGTGCGGACGAGGAGGGGTGGATTGCGGTTTCAAACGTTCACCGAACGTAGGACTCAGGGAGCGTGTACAATATTATGTTATCGCTTTGCTGCGAATGAGCTTTGCGGCGGTTTGCTCGATCGCGAGAAGTAGTCCTCTATTTCTCGAAAGCTCTTGCCCAACGTCTCAGGCACGACGAAGTGCACGTATACGGCCATGGACGTGGACACAACGCCGAACACAAGGAACAGGTTCGGCACGGAGACGACGGCAAACATGTACGGGAACACCTTGAACGTGGCGAACATGATCAGGTAAGCGTACGACACCAGTATGCAGCCGCCGACCGCTCGGACGGGCGTGGACAGGAGTTCGCAGATCATCGTCCACGGGAACACGAGCACGCCGACGGAACTGCTGAACACGAACAGCATGACGCCGAAAAGCGGCCACGGTACGGTGGACGTGTCCCGGCTATAGTGGGTGGCCGCCACCAGGACGGACGACAGCGCCATGGCCACGCACGAGAACACCAGCATCGGTTTTCGGCCCACGCGCAACGACAGCGCGCACGCCAGCAAGCCGGACGCGAACCTGACGACGCCTAGTGCGGCCAGCGATTGAATCACAATGGCCGGCGGATAAGCGGCGGGCACCACCGACTTGAGTATGGGAAGCGCGTACGATATAGCCGAGTAGGCGCCGGACAGTTGCTGGAGGAGCAGTAGCACGGTCAGTATGACCATCGGCTTGTACGCCGCGGGATCGGACCGAAGGGACTGGACGAACGACCGTTGATGGACGTCCGGGTCTGCAGTGTCGTCCGACGCCGATTTCAAGCGCCTCCACTCGGCTTCGAACACCTGTGTGAAACGCGTGTCGTTTATTTTTGAGTACGGCGATGAATTGGTTTCTGCTTACTTACAGCGGTCTTGCCGGACGGTATACTTTATGGAATTACCCCCCTTGCGAAATTTTGTCAAATCTACTTCGAAATTCTACCAAATAATTGCAAACAAATCTTCTTTTTTTTTTATATATATATATATTTTACGCTTTTTAATTTTTTTTTTTTTTTTTTTAATAAGCCTATCTTCCTGCAACTTTGACTATGATGTGTCCCCTCTCCAGAAGAAAATTATAACTACACCACTAATACGAATCATAAATCAATTCGACTCACGTGTGAAACTATGAAAGAAAGTAAATGCGAACAGCGGAAACTAATTCAGTTAGTACTTAGAAGGGTGTGAGACCGGAGAAAGCAAGAACTTAAGAACCAATTGTTTACTACCAACATAATATTTTTAAATAACAAGTCATATTTTGTACAATTTTTATCATCATACATTTTTTTAAGGCTTTTTATTTTTATTTAAATGTTTAATTTATTTTTTCTTATTTTGAATAAGCAGTTAAATATTTAATTTATGAATATATGATTACGAAATCGAAAAATATTTTCTTATGTACAGAAGAATTACAAAGAATAAACTTTTTACTTTGTTTCTACTTTTTTAATCTTAGAAAAAATTTTTCTTACACATTTCACCAGTTTTGAATTCGTTTTAAAGAAATATAGTTATTTTACTTTTTATGAATTATATCAGAGACAATTTCATAAATTGTAAACTAGATATCTATACGTCACGTACATATGTATATAATAAAGTTTATATTATTAAAAAATCACAGTGGCAACCAATCTGGACAACCATAGTAAGATATCGGAAACTAATTAGAATTTTATATAACTACATTAACAATAACAATATTTGAAAACGGCAAATTGAATATCGAATAATAGGGCAGTATTTAATGCAAGATTAATATAATTGTATGACTCACCTGATTATCGTTCGGATAAATATGTTTCACCGCCATTTTAGCTTTATCAACGTGCTCGGAACTTTTAAACTTCAGAATCCAGATCGGACTTTCTGGCAAATAAATTATTATGAGCGCCATGTTGACTATTGTGAAGATGACGAAAGATAAGTTTATGACTTTCCATTCCAGATCCGCCAAACAAGTTGAGAGCAGTATGCCACCAGAAAAGAAAACACTATTAAGAGACAACAATACCTGCTTGTACGACGGGTGACTGATTTCCGATACGTACACTAAGCCCACTGTAGTCATCCCTGATCGATTTGTTAAAAATAAACATGTATTATAACATAAATGTAATTAGTAATTACTTTACGAATTTTGTACATTTGTATACCTGCACCGATCCCGCCCAAAAGCCTAAAGGCATAACACGCATAGATGTTATCTGAACTCGAAATAGTCACTGTTGTCCACGACGCGAGTAATGGTAAGCAAGTTAAGAGACACGAGTTTTTCCGACCAATCTTATCCATCACCAGACCGACAAAGAACGCTCCAACGGGTGTACACAAAACCGAAATACTTGCTTTCATAAATAACATCAAAACTTCGCTTTAATTAAGTATACTTGAACATATCTTAAAGCATATATATATTATATAAATACATTTAAAGGATTATTAAATATTTTATTTAAGGTGTAGGTGTGAGCTATGGTAAACGGACAATTGGTCCCCAGCCAATTTTTTTTCATGTGATACATTTCACAGATTTTTTTTTTTGCAGCATAATACATTAATAAAAAATAGAAATTAAGATATTATTTAGTGTTACCAACAAACACGGTAGGTCAGCAGTTCAAGTGTATTTTAAATAGGATAAGATTAGATACGAATTTTGATTGTTTGATCAGTTATAAATGATATTATAAACTATCTATTTTTAGCAAACTGTTTTGAAATATAGCAATACATTTTTCATCTCTTAAATAACATTATAACGAAGACTATTGTCCGTATACGTCAAATTTTTCGAAGGGAAAAATTTTCAGGAGACTAAATTATCTTTAATCCGTCTATGATTTATCACCACTGTCACTTTCTAAAAAAAAATATGTATAACTATAATAATAATAACGATAAACGTGACGATGACTGTGACGCTCGAAAAAACGACAAAATAATAATATTAATTTCAATAAATTATATTTTTAATCGTTGATTTATAGAATGTATACAATATATACAATTAAAATCAATTTATTGCTACTTTAAATTTAAATAGTATTTAATTGAATTTAATTTTGATCTTATTATTTTATGCTTCTAATATAGAGTCGTTATTAACAATTATTTTCTAGCAAAAGTACTTGTAAATAAATGTATTATTTTTAAAAACTTATAACGTTAAATTTACATATTAAAAATATATGTATAATAATAATAATATATGTATATATAATATATATATATTAAATATATTTTATTAGTTGTATTAATCATATTTTTATTTCTTACTATTTTTATTTTGAAAATGTATATTTTTATAATAAAAAATTACATTTACCTTTTATAATTTCTTCTTTTGATTATAAACAAATGATAATTTTAGGTAAATTAGAGTTATTGTCTCAATTGAAATGTAAATTTCAATCTTAAGAATTTATTTAGCCTCCGTTAGAAAAGATTTCTTATTAATATTACACCTATGTTCAAAATTCATGGATTTGGTTCTATACAGTATAGTAGAATTTATAATTATAGAATATTACAATTTAATATGTTAAAAATTTAAATTATAATACATAATAAATTCACTACTTCTTTTGCCTATAAATAAGTACATTTAAATAAGTAGATAATATGATAATAACTTCCTATTTGATTGGATCATTATTTTTAAATAAATAATTTTATTAATAATAAAAATATTTCTAAGTTTGAATAACTTATAATTTACTGATAAAATAATATTTTCATTATTTTGTACTTTGTTACTAAAATATATTTTTATCTAGGTAGTGAATATTTGATATAAGTATAATTTTAGCATATGCAAATAAAAATAATATTTTAACTATTAGCATCTAACGATTAGCTGAAGTGTTGACTATTATTTGTTATATCTATTAGGTTAAATATATAATATTACGTACAGTCGTAAATTCAATGTTTAAAATTTTTATATTAACATTTCAATATAAAATGGTTATTACTTATCCATGAAAATTGTTCTTTATTTATTGATGGTATATGATGTAACATATTATTTGAATAGGCTAAATGTATTCCCGGTTGGATAACCATCAATAAAGATATACAACTAGCCAACACCTAAAAAATTAACTTAAGTTATACAATATAAATACAATTATTTCAATATATATTTTTAATCTAATGAATTGAACATTTAAAACCTACTTGAGGATATAAATCTCTCCATAAAAGATTCGAAACTGGATATTTTTCATACTCAACAACTATGATTTTATTTTCCGTATTCCTGCAGAAAAATGTAATTATCTTAAATGCATAATTTGTGGAATAATCATTTATATAAATCTAACATATTTAGTAATAATACGTACCTATTGTTTTCAATTAATTTATTTTGACCATCATCATTAGTTTTATTTTTATCTATACTAATTATAGTTTTAATGTTTATATTGCTGTCTGAAATAAATATTTAAATTTTAATAGTTTAGAATATGATATAATTTAATTACATACCATTATTCTTGGGCGTGGTGATTTTATCAGCAATAATTTTCACATTCTGATCTATAGTACTCATTCTGCTGTTACCTTAAAAGTTAAATTATCAAAATAAATACTTAGTATTTTTAACCAACAGCATTGATGAACATTAGCACAATAGGTAACATCTAATACACAACATTTTTATGTGTATAAAATATAAGTAAATGTTTAAAAAAAAACTAGTTTATTTTGTTTATATAGTGATAATATGTTATACTACGATACGATTCGGAAAATATAATATATCAAATTATACCAACAATAATCATTTAAGGTCACAGAGATAGGACCTGCGCATTGATATTACTATTAATAATCTTTTAAGTATTAAATAATATACTGCAATAAAGTCTGATGAATTACAATGATGTCTGTGGTCTGTCTTATATATTTGTATAAATCTGTAACATTGGCCATAATTTTACGACAATACATCTGTTTCTACGAACAATCATTATCATGAAAAATTAAAAGAATATGCAATAACATAAACAGATAACTTAACTAGTTTCTACGAGCCTCATCATTATTATTTTTCAAAAAAGCAGTCTAAAACAAAATACAAATAAAATTTGATAATTTCATAAAATTTTACGTTTGCTTAGTAATTTATGATAGCAAAAAATTAATTATATTTAATTACATTATTATTTAAATGTACCACTATGCCTTATTCTTTGCCTATAGTCTACGTTAATTTTGAATTTTATCAGTTATATTTTTCAATATTTTCATATAGTGACTAAACTTGAAAGTCATTTTAGATTCTGCAAAAGTGTAGCAATAAATATATATATCACAATGATTTTTATGTGTGTATGTATTTGTTATCACCTTTTAAAGCAAAAAAAAATGTTTTGATTTTCTACTTTAGCATCTTTCCTAGCAGGAAAGCAAATCTCAAAAGTGTCAGTAAAAAAAATAAAATTAAGGAAAAACGAAAATTTTTAAGCAAAACCAACAAAATTGTGTTTTTTACAGAGAAAATTCAAAAATGAATAACCATGGATACTTGAAGTTTTCATTAAATAATATTACCATCTTATATACATAATACAATTTTTAAGATATTTTGATTCTTTTCTTAGCTATTTATAGACATTTAACATTTTTTTTTCTATATATGTCCATAACAATTTTATCACTTGACCAAAAAGCATGAAAATTTAATAAAAGTGTCCGTATGATGTGTTAACATAGCTGTTGATAAATTTAAAATAAATATAAGCACAATTATTTTTTTTTATATGTTTATTAAAAATATATTTGAATAAAATTATAAATTTAAACAAATTTTAACAATATTAATTAATTATTTTGTTGTAATTCAAAAATATTATTCATAGCCCATGAATCATGGGAATTTGAAACTTTTGTTCACCGTCTAATTTATTTTTTACTTAATGTAATTTTCAAAATATTTAGATTAATATTAAGCTATATATACCACAACCTGAACAACTTCTAAGGAACCTTGTATTAAAATTTCAAGTAGTTACGGTTATTTTTTATTAAATTACAATAAAATCGATTTTATCGAGTACTGATTTTGTGTAAATATTCCCGTTTTTCATTAATTTATTTTTCCCAATAATATTGAAAATACTAAGATATTTTTACTTTACTCCTCTCTAAGTACCAACAAGATCCAATTTCCTACCAGAAATTACCCTCAAAGTTGAAAAATTAAAGCATTTTTACTGCCTATGGGCGATGACAGGCAAAAAAAGAACACAGACCGTTGTAAAATAATAAATTATTCATCGCTCCACTTAAAATCTAAAAAATTATTTAAATCTTGAATCTATTTGAAAAAGTTACACTTTAATATCTTACACTAAAGCTCTGAAAAAATTCATACGTAAATTACCTATACTAAATTTAAATATCATCAAAATGGATTTTTAAATTTATAATAAACCCATCAATACATGTATTTAAAGAGCATATATTTACCATTCGCGAATAAATTCTCTATAGTTTATAGTCTATACTAAGCAATTGCGCATTTAATTAATTTATTGTTTAGATTTCAGAGTATATAATATAGTTAAAGCGCATAAAAAATGTTTGACGAAAACGTCTTTGCTACAATAGATTTATTGAATGTAGGGGTATCACCCAATATAATAAGCTGAAACTGCAGACTGTAGTTAAGTTAAAAATTAACTATTTAATACATCTTTATATTAAAATCAAACGAAGTTATAAATTCATGCAACAGCTGGTTAACTACATAATAGGTAGGTAGTCAAGGAATATCAGCGTGTTGCGAATCTATATGCGATATGAGTAGTGGGCAGCGGTGGCAATTACACTATTATACGGACTTCAAACTTTTAAGAGATATATTATTAACAAGATTGCATGCGATTAACTGGATTCAAATTTTGCGTGGTTATTAATTTATACGTATCCGGTCTGTAGGTACGTTAATCTAAGGTGCGCCCATATGATATTGTACATTATGTACCTATTATATATTATTATGTACATTATAAATGAAAAATTCTTAATCCGTCATTTCATTAACTTTTAGCAAAAAAAAAAAAATCAAAATAATGTAAATACGCTGTACAGTATACTAAATTTTAACCTAGGGGAACAAGGTAAATGATGAAAAAAAAAATAAGTTGAATTAGTAAATCAAAGTTGAGAACATTAACCTATAAATTGATATTTTAATTGCAATAATTTGTTGAGAAATTAAGTTAGTTATGAAGTTATTTTAACACTTAAATTTTAAAACTAAAAAAAGAAAAAAATAATTTGTATTTCTTATTATCGTCCATGTTATATCTGCTGTTAAATATCAACATACTAAGGCGTTAAACATAATACATGCAAGAAGCGAATTGGAGTGGCGTTTAGTGTGGGCTGACAAAAATATATTTTGAAGGTCCTAGAATAAAGCATATAGGAATAAATTATTTTTTATTAAATATTCTAAAATAAAATATAAATTATTGCAATTCGTCAAACTGAAAATGTTATATTCATTTAAAATATAATATCGTAGTTAGGTAGGTATTCGTTAAAAAAAATGGTTACCATAAATCGGAAGGTTCTAAGTACTAAAAAAACAATTTAATATGATAGTTAAATAGTAATTGACGGCGAATCTAAGTTAAAATAACAAATTAAAGTAAAATATTTTAATAGTAAAAGTAAAATAAAATATATTACCAGTTGAAACACTCAATTAGGTATAATTCACTAATCACTACTCATAACTTTATATTTTATTCATTATCAATCAAAATCCGGTAATCGAGTATTATAAATTAATAGATTGATTAAATATTAAACAATCGACTATTTTAAATGTTTGAATTCCAGTAATTATTAATAACACAATAAATTAAAACGTCGATTACGAAAACGCGGGTAGAAATAATTTATTATTGTTTATTTCGCGCTTGAATCGTTGGACATGTGCCAAAGACGTTTCAAACTACAACAATGTGTTTACAACGTCACCGTGTTAGAACCGTATCAATCATTATGACGTCACTTTATGATTGCATCACCACCAATCACTATTCATCAGTCATCTGTTGCATTGCATTCCTTTTCGTTAAATAATTGTTCTTTCGTTTCCTAACTAATCTTTTTCAACAGTCAAAAATCACGATACACGAATTAAAACATCGACTAGAGTAGACGTTTTCTCGTTACTGTGGCAGTCTTATAATTATTGTCGAGATCAACAAACAAACAGTCATTGTCGTTAGGCAGACACAAATTTTCGACATCGACGTCCCGCCCTTGACCAGTCGTGTACAGCGCCGTTTATTATACCAAATAAGCTACCCGGCCATTAGATCTATAATTCTGGTGAGTACTACGATTTTATATGATGATATTACATCCCAGCGCTACGCGCACCTGTCATTTTTGAGTTTTCGTCAACCAGAAACTATGACAACCTTTAGTGAATATTAAACACTGCGCTTCGTTTTGCCGTTTAGTATGTCTTAAACGATTTTCAATAATTGTACGTACTAAATATACAATATTGGTTTTTGTGCAGGTGTAAAAAACATTTCATTAACACAACTAACATACTGATGATACCAGTTTGCTAATCTTTGTTTACATATTAAAGTATTCATTACGTTTTCTATTTTTCAATTAACATCAGTCGCAAAAACATTCTCCCTGACGGTTATATATACATAATATTAAATATAAAAGTATATCACATACCTATTAGACATTTAGTTACTAAATTTCTGTAGCATTGATATTGGTTCCATTAACTCTTGCAGGCACTATGGCTGATAACAAAGGACAGAGCACCAAAAAACCGACAGACTCTCAAAAAAAACTTCAAGAGTCTCAAGCTCAGGTTGATGAGGTTAGTATGAGCAAATTGTATTATTTTTAATTAAAATGTCTGTATGAGTACATTATCAGCTTTATATTTATTAGTTATCTAATCATGTATAAATATTTCAAGGTCGTTGGAATTATGAGAGTCAATGTTGAAAAGGTATTAGAACGAGACCAAAAGTTATCAGAATTAGACAATCGTGCAGGTACATAAATTATAAATTAAAATAATTTTTTAATATAAAATAAATATTTTAATCATTAAGTTTAATAAAAAATTAACAAAATTATGTTCTTAATTACCTTATATGATTTATGTTATTATTTCAAAGTTGGGTAAAATAAGGAAGTATATTGTTTGTGAGTTTTGTATGAATTCAAAAATTATTAATTTTCAGGAAAAAAATGAAAAAAACTAAATTCCATTTTAATTAATCTGTAATAACTAGTTTTTTTTTTTATTTTAGTAATAAGAACTATGACATTTTTTACCAAATAGATAACAATGGAGATCTTTAATAATTCTCTTTTATCCAAGAATATCCAATTGTTTAAAGTTAAATTGATAAAAAAAACATGTGATTTTACTAAGTATAAGTTATTAAATATTAACTATTTTATGGTACTAAATTATAGTTAATTAAAAATTTTAATAACTTTATTTTACGCAACAAAACATTTAGATAATAAGTTACATTAATTGTTTTGTTATACAAACAATTAAAATAATCTATTCTAATAGCAAATGTAATTTAATTTAAATCTATAATTTACTTAAACAAAATTAAATTAATACCATAAATAAAAAAAAAAAATATATTTTTATTTAAAACTAATTCAATTCCTTAAAACAAAGTTTAGGTAATTTAGGAAGTTACTAAACGAAATCAACTATTTAAATGATTAAATAATTATTAAAGAATAAAATTATATTAATACTCAGCTTTGTACTTAGGAATATTATGAATTGTTTATTATTTAACTTAAAAATACTATTTCTTGTAATTATTGTAATACATAAAAACATAAATATACACTAACACTTTCTTATCTTTGCTTAGGTAGCCTCATTGTCAACAACCTGATTAAACAAATATTGTTTATGATTAATCTGCTTAAATATTCAAAAATAACTAATATATTATGTCTCTATAAAACTTAAATATAATTGATTTTTGTTTTTGCTTACAATTATTCAGTAGGAAGGTAAGTTTGGTTAAATAACCATAAATAGTAGATAGCAGTTTTAATAAAAGAGTTTTATTTCCTGTAGTAAAGATAAATTATGTTTTTAAATAAGTGGTGTCATTTGTGGAACGCATTTATAGTATACATAATTGCATTAAATAATGTATAATTTTTTTTTTAATAGGCTACTCATATATGTAAAAATAAATATTAGTATTGAAATGTCTGTTTAGTAGATGCATGTGTAGATAACATATAATTAAATTAAATACTTTAATTGTTTATTTCCATTTAGAAGTATTAGTTCAATTGTATTTTTTGTTGCTAGAGATTTAATTATAGTTGAGTGTATTTTCAATATTTAAATGATGCTAACACAGCTTTTTTTTAAATATGTTTATCTTACTTTGAAATTCATGTTCTTATTTAGAAAACATAGTACACAAGATCACTAAGGAATAAGGATACTAATATTAAAAATATTATAATTTTCTTCCTACTTAATGTTAATAGTTAACATCCAAACAGTAGTAATTAATAGTTATAACTTATAATAAGGTTAAAATTGAAGTATATAAATTTATTTATTTTTAATCAATCAATAAAAGTAACCAACAGAACATGACATGAACAAATGCAAACTATAAAAGTTAAGAATACATATATTATTATTCTTTTAGGATTTTTCACCTGCAAGCAAATTAGATTTATTATAGGTTTATTAATTTTTATAAACATTTTGTAAAATTTTTATTGTATAATTTTATACCTAGAAAGCCAAATTTAAATGATTTGGGACAAATCTACTATCATCTACTGGGGTTATATACCTCTAATTTTTCTTTCAATAATAAATTTATTTTTAAGTACGCAATATAAGAAGCTTATTTTCAATTATTTAGAATTTTTATATCACTTAAGTAGTCTATTGTGACAAAATTTCTTTTTTTAAAAATCTATCAAAATTTGAACAATTAGTTTCTATCCTAAAAAATAGTTTTACTTAAATATAAATTATGTATAATATTGGATTTTAAAATTTTATTATTCTCAGATAATTTTTGTAAATTATAAAATATTAATAGGTTAACAATAATTACTTTAATTTTGAAATGATCATTGCCTCCTAACCCATTACAAAACTATTATCTTTAGTACACCAACAAAACAATCTAAAAATAATTCAAATTTTAATTAAAATGCATACAATTTTCAAAAAAGTAAACATTTTATGACTGCCATCAATGATATGACAAATGATTTATTAACTCCTGCAAATACATATTTTTAGACACACCCTTCTCCAATAAAAGTATAAGTGCCAAAAAGTTTTCCAAGTATCGAGTATTTTTATCAAACAATATCTATTTATTAATTTGATCTTTTTTGATCAATATTTTGGTTTGCCCAAAGTGTTCCGCATTCTTTTTGCTCTTACATTATTAAAAATACAGTAAGTATGCAGGAATGTTAATCCTCAAATATTGTGGTGTCGGGTAAGGGGTACACCCTCAAATGTTTGCCAAGTTACTACCTGTCATGTTTTTGTTTTATTATTATCAATTTTTAATTAATCTATTAAAATGCACTGTTTCAAAATATATTTTATTGATTATGATTAACTATCAATTTAACATAAATAATTTGATTACAGATGTATTGCAACAAGGTGCATCTCAATTTGAACAACATGCTACAAAACTTAAAAGAAAGATGTGGTGGAAAAATTTAAAAGTTTGTAGTATTAAAAATATATTTGCACTTAATTAATATTGTATACATGTATTATAAATATATATATATATATATTTTTAGATGATGATTCTTTTGGGAGTTATTGTAGCAGTCCTTTTGATTCTTATTATTGGTGAGTTTTCAAAATTTTACTTTAATATTATTATAGATATTAATAGAATGTCAACTTACAATTAATATTGTCATTCAGTATAAAATAATAATCACTTACAACTTGAACAATAAATTGTAATTGTACATGTTCAACTTCCATAAAAACTGAAATATCATAAAAAGATCAACATACAAACGCATAATATTAATTTTATATTTAATAAGTCTGTTCATTGTAAAATCAAAAATAAAACAAATTTGTTCTGCTAAATCATATTTATTATATTATATATATGGATTGAGTAGAGAAAAATAAATAGTATGCTGACGTCCCTTCAAAAAAAATAAATAAATAATCTATAAACAAATGTAGTTTGTATACACAATAACTGTTAGGAAAAAAGTTAAAGTACTATTATTGTAATTAATCAAATATTTTATTTACAGGGTCATTCGTTGGTGGTGGTAATTAAGTAATGCTGTTTATGAGCAGAAAAAGAAAAATCATCATCATGTTACATTCTGAAAGCGTTAACTTAACATTATTATTAATATAAATTGTGATAAATAATAAATTAATAAGTCACAAAATTGCATTTTTAATAGATTGCATTATATACATATTTGAAATTTTTGTCTGTTGCTAGAAATATTTTATTTAATTTAAGAAATTATTTTAATTTTTTAATACTCAAATAATTATAAACAGAATTTTTTTTGTTATTCATAAAATATTCAATACTGTACAGTTAATTAAATTCTAATATTTAATCATTAATACTTTTTAATTTATTCCTTTACTATAGATTATTATTACTTTAATTTAATTTGAGGTTTAATTGGCTATGGTAATAAAACATTGTATTAAATATAATATTTAATGTATTTTATTTTATTTTTTTTATATCAAACAAATTATTTTTATAGTGTAGGCTGTTGCATAATAAAATATATATTTCTTGTAAATCTTATCAACAATATTTATTTTTGTTAATAATAACTGTATATTTATTGTTAGAACATTGAAAGGTTTAGGAAATATATCACAAAAACATAGATTTAAATAATTCAATTTTAATTTTTTTGGAAAATTCTTAATATTAGTATATTATCCTATACTAAATAAGTATGTATTTTTTCGTTAACAACATTTTACTAAGTATAAAAATGACTTATCTGTACTTAGAGCTAATTTTTTGCTTAAAGTTTTTAATATAAAAATAAGAATTATATAGCATTTAATTTTGGTAATCTGAGTTCAACATTTAACTAGCATGAAAATCTTTATTATATTCATCTTGTTTGACAGATTTTAAATGTTAATATTCATTTGATTTATTAGTAATTACATGTGAGCTGTGTCAATATAATAAAATTTATACAAGAATATGGATCTGTGAATGTAGAAGATAATTTATATCTTATATGTAAAGCCTGGATTTAAATGCTTCAAAAAAATAACTAAAAATGTCTTTCTGGTTAAAAAGATCCCTTAAAAAATAATAAACATTTTTTTTATGAACATAACTATACAGTAATAAAACAATAGTTTAACTTTTGTAATTTTTACTATTCTTTATATTAACTAAATTAACAATACTACGAAAATAATATACCAAACTCTCACACAAATCAAAAGTATACTAGAAATGAATACAATCGCAATGTATTTTTAACTATCCAATTAATTATTTATTTAAGTTCTGTGAGCAGGCACAATGGCAAGGTGGGGCTTTAGCCCCCCAGAAAACAATTCAGCCCCTTCTAAAATATATGTACAATATAATAAAGTCATAAAACATTATTTTTAAAAGAGCTACATCAGAAAATTTATGAAATTTACTTTTTTAAATATAGTAATATTAAGTAAATACTTTCGTATTTTCGAAGATATTTGTTTTTAAGTTTTTGCTGTTATAAAAATCGATTTAATAATATTATTTTATACACAAAAACCAAAGAATATTATTAACTTAATTTAATGTTTGTTGTATACAGGTAAAAATAATTTTAGTTTACTTATTATTTTTAATATGTTTAATTAATATAGTAATATTGTGTAAGACTTAATAGTTAATAAAAGGAAAGGATTTCTTTAAGTATCTACATTTTAATATATATCCATGAACTATTTTAACCTCCAAGATTCAACAAAAAATACAAAGTAGATTCTTTAATACAAAATATACTATGCAAATACCAATTTAAAAATGTATTGAACTAAAAACTTGAAATTTACTAGTTAAATATTAGGTAGGTAATCACAAATTTTTATTTAAAAAAATATTATTCCTACTGATATTGATGCAATTTTATAAATTTTTATTAACTATTTCAACGTTTTAAGATTTTCAATCATTTAGTGTTTGGTACATAAACAGATATTGTGTAAAATATCAATATTTTTGTTTATTTAATATATTTGTCACTACTAAATAAATTCAATTTAGTATAGATTATAATAATTTAATTAATGAAGTTTGAACAAATAACATCTTCAGTCTTTTTACGATGGATTAACCTAATAGTATTATCTAATAAGGAAAAAATCTATTACAATTTTAATAAAAAATGTTTTGAAATTTGTAAAATAAGAAAAAAATCTTTTATTTATTTATTATTACCTACTTTTATTGAGTACCAATTACTAGATGAAAATAAACAAACAAAATTATCCAAAATCATTGCATTAAAAGTTGAGTAAAATAAATTCATCTGTTCATAACTAAACATAATTACTTTAATTTATATTTATGAATTGTAAGTAAAAGAAACATAATTATTCATTCACAAAGGTATGTAATAAAGAAATTATCATTTTTGTACATAATTATTAATATAGTTATTGAAGGTCTGTAATCTCACATTTTCATACATAAGGTACATAAAAAAAATTTATATTTTATTTAAATAACCTCAGTATTTGTTGAAAAAACCTTAGCCCATGTAAAAAGAAATATTTGCCCTGCTCTGCCCCCCCCTGAAAAAAATTCTAGTGCCGTGCTTGCCTATGAAGATAACATATTCAATAATTGAAGATAGCTAAAAGTTTTATCATATTCATTTATAAATAAATTGACATTTAGTAGGGATATATTTAAGTAAGAATTACTATTAAAGCAAAGATGAAAACAATATTTCTTGATATGTTTTGAATTTCTTAATTTACATTAAAACCTTGTACAATTTATTAATACATGACCTAAAAATTCAGAGTAAAAGGCTTACCTTTGAAGTATCTGTTGCTGTTATACATGACAACTTAGGGCAGTTTTCAACTTCAAATGTTCAAACAATTTTACTTTTCATACTTTTTAAACAAATGTTGGTGTCATAAATGAAAGAATTAATGAATTTTAATTATTTATAAATGAATGTGATCTTCATCAAAAAATTATCAACTTTATGTTTTTTTAAGTTTTATTCTTAAGTATTTTTTTTTAAATTTTCTCCCAAGTTGTATGCACGGTTTTAAAACTTGGGATACTCTACTAAATATTGTCTTTATTAATTTTGCTTTAAAACTCATGTTACTTATATATATTACAATACAAGACGTAATTATATGTGTTAAGTTTATTTTTTAAGTATAATTTTTATGGTAAATAATATTAAAAGAAAATTTAAGTAATATATTCAAATACCTTTAGTAAAATTGTCTTGATTGTTTTGAAAAAAAAGTTAACAAGTTACAGAATAACAACAAGTGACTTAAAGTTTAATCGATGTAATTTTTAAAGACTGTCAAAGTGTTAAAATTGTATAGTGGTAAGAGGTGTACTGATTACTTCCTGAATAATAACTAACTTGAAAACGATTTTCCGTTGTTATCATTAGTTATTTTTTTGGCGGTCTTATCACATTAAGTCGATAGATAGTACTATATATAGATACTTCGCTCTTGTAGAAAATAAAGTTGATTATTTCAAATTCTCAAGTAAAATCCATTGAACAGTTACTCGCACAGGTCCCAAGTTATCACATTCTACGGTTCGTGAAACGAATAAATTATGTAATTAATTAGCATTGTCCAAAGGCACCCAAAAAATAATGTACTTTGCATTATAATTTATAGGGCTCGGATTTTAAAGCAAATGCTTCTTTTTATATATTTAAGATAGAAATCTATTTTTTATACATAAATTCGTTTCACGTTAATCTGATTCGAAATAAACGAATTTATTTTTGCTTTTTTTTGCTTTTTTTAGTATAAATGCTTTTTTTGCTTTTTTATTGCTTTTTTCAGTCATTCAAGCTGTGGAATTTTCATTTGTTTGTTATGCTATGAAAATAAAATAAAAGTGTTTATTTACTTAATAAGAAATGTGAAAACCCGCAATAATGACCGTGACCGTACCATTAGTGCGAAACGTCATTTTAGGCGAAACGTTGACAACATGTATAAATATCGTGTTAGATGCAGAAAAAAAGTTAAATGAAGCTCATGGAGATATTGCAACTGCTATTTCTAGTAAACTAAATCGTGTTCTTTTGAAAAACAAAGGCTGGAAACAATTACTGGACATTAATACTATACTGTGTGGCGTTTCATCAGATGAAATTAATTATCATGGGTTTGATTTAAACGAAACCTCTTGCATGAAGTATGCACCGATCACTTCAGTGGATGTAGAGCGTTCGTTTTCGATGTATAAAAACATCCTGTCAGACAATAGAGTCAGTTTCACTTCTGAAAATCTTACCAAATACATGGTAGTAAATTCTTTTTTTAATTTAAATTAATTTTTCAAATGTTTTTTATTCAGTTTTATAAAATTATAACTAATTCGTGTTAATTTTTAGTCGTGCTTTTTTTTTGCTTTTTTTAAAAATAAATATGCTTCATTTTTGCTTTTTTTAAACAATTTTATGCTTTTTTTGTTATTTATTATGCTTTAAAATCCGAGCCCTAATAATTTATATTGTATTTTCGGGTTTTACTTACCTATATGATTTAATATCTTCTTACTTAATGTAAGTACGTACGCACAGAATATGCATATAATTCATTAATTAGGTGTAATATAGCTTGTAAATTCAATAGGTAGGTGCCATGAATGATATGAGTAGGTAGGTATACTTAATGAAACAAAATTAATGAATTGCCATTAGATGTTATGATTATAATATGATATATACCTACGTATACCTAACGATCTTAATTTAGTAGAATACCAATTATCCGAAAGTTAATCAACTGGACATCCATTTATCTGAACGAGAAAAATAAAAAATTTGGTCTTTTAATTAATAACACGTAAATCATTAGATTATCGTATTTCGTCATTCCACATAATCGTATTCGTAGATTAGATTTCCACCCATTACATCGAACGCTGATTATTAACGGCTATTGCTAGAGGGTCAGTTTTTGGTGTTTTCTCAATAGGTCAGTTGTCTAATTGTTATACAGTTTAGTTTGTTAATTATTTTAACGAGTACATTTTAGTGTCATCGTGTCATCTAATGGAAAACGTTTGTAATGTTTTCAATGAAAGAGAAATTAGACAAAATTGAGCGATTGAAAAAAGGCGATTAAGGTTGCACATTGACCAAACAGTACATTATTGGAACATCAAAAATTTTAGATATAAAAAAGGGTG